TTTAAATAAATAAATTTTATTTTTTTTTTTTTTTTTTTTTTTTTTTTTTGTATACTATTTTAATTGAAAATAAAAATACTTGAATAAATTTATATTTTCAAGTTTTATAGATGTTTTATTAAATGCGCACCTCAAAATAAATATATGAAATATTTTAATATTATTTAAATTTAAAATATTTTTTGCTATATTATTTTTTTTGAAAAATTACATTTTAATTTATTAATTTTTTTTATATATATTTTTTTATTTATATAATTTTTTTTTTTTTTTTACAAGTGAGAAAAATATATTTTATGGAAAATATGAAATAAAAAAGAATATTATTTATTAAAATAAGAAAAAAAGAAGAAAAATGCATTATAACTTAATAAAGAGCAAGATTAATACTAATTATGTAATAGATCCATATGTAAGTATGTTATATTTGAAAAGAGCATATAAATATCTACAATTGTTAAAAAAAAATAACGGAAATATCATAATATTAGGAAATAAATTTAACGAAATAAAATTAGAAAATTATTTTAAAAATATTGAACATAAAGAGAAATGTGATTTAAATACTTTAACAAATGTAACAAAATCTTATGACTTATTAATATGTACAGATCTTCCATTGTATTATTCACATATTAAAAATATTTTTCTTCCTAAAATGTTAATAGCAGATGGATATAGTTTTGTTAAAAATAAAAATTATTTGCATATATTTGATTATTTCATCCCACTAACAAATCAAAAATTAGATAAACATTTACATTATGTTTTATCTAAAAAGTATTTATCATAGATAACTTATTCATTTATTTTCTTTTTTAATGTATATATATATCCACTTTTTTTTGTAAATTATACTTTTTTTTTTTTTTTTTTTTCTTTTTTTTGTCAACTAAAGATGTAATAATTATATGCATAATTTTTATCAAATATAAAGTAAATTCTAAAAAAAAAAAAAAAAAAAAGCTATCTTATAAAATTGATACAAACACTTAAAAAAATAAAGATAATGAAATTAATATATAAAATAAAAAAAGATAAAATTGGGAAAATGATGCAAAACAAAATAAACAGTCAATTACATTTAGAAAAAAAAAAAAAAAATAAAAACATATATATATATATATATGTATTTATATAAAATATATTATATAATTAAAAAAGGTACTAAAATCATAAAAAAAGAAAAAAAAACTAAAAAAAGTAGATTAATTCAACTTGTATTTTAAAAATCAATGAATTTTATGTATGAATTTTTCTTTAATAAAATTTATATAAAAATAAAAGTGTATATTTATATTAGTATTTTTTTTATTTTTTTTATATTTTTTATATTTTTTTCTTTTAATTTTTTGTATTATATACAATTGTTTTTTTTTTTTTTTTATTTTTTTGATTTTTATTTTGCAATATATTTTGATTAATATGAATACTAAATAAAGTCATCCATATTTAATATAGACTTAACTGTTTGCCAACATTTCTTCTGACTTTTTAATAAATCTTGTGAAATTTTTGTTTGTCCAGTTTCTTTATACTGTTGAGACATATTTAGTAAAAAATTTTTAGAAATATTAACAGCCGTTCCAATTGTTAAATTGACATTCGATATATCCATACACTTAATAATCCAAGGTGGTAATTTATTTTTTTTATCATTTCTTGAATATCTAATATCAGAAAAAATCATAATACCATAATCTTTTTTATTTCTTATAATTCTCCCTACACATTGTGAAGCTTGTCTCATAGCATCAAATGTTAAAAATTCATTTTCTTGTATATTGTAAGTTTCTTTTAAAAAATCTAATCTAGATTTAAGAATTTTTGAGAGTGTATATTGATAAGGTATACCAAATAATATAACACATTTTCCATAATGTTTATCAAAATCTATTCCTTCTGCAATTTTCCCTCTACAAATTGATAAAAATACAGCTCCCTTACCAAAATCACATGCCTTTTTAAAATTATGTAAAGCAATAGTAGTTGATACAATATCTTTTGTTTCAATAAAAATTAATTTATATTCTAATATGTTTGCTATAACACCTAATTCATACCATGTAGAAATTACTTGTTCCATATATATATAAGAAGGAAAATATGCGACTATCCCATCTGGAATATTCTTACACATCTCTACTAATAAAATTCCATAATTTTTAATTACATTAATATCATTTCTTAAAGAAAATTGGGAAGATAATGGAACTAAATCTGAACTTTTTGTAACAATTAATGGACATACACAATTTCTATCAAAAGACATTGGGAAAGATGCAGTTAAAACAGTTTTAAAATTCAATAATTTTGGATATAATTCTAAAGGTGTTATTGTACCACTTGTTAATATAATTGATTTATATTTATTTATTACTGATTTCATAGCAATTGAAGAATCTAAACATGCAAATTGGATGACAGGATCATATATTCCAGTAGCTTCTGGATAAGGTTCACATATAATTATAAACCCTTTAAAATAATTACCTAACAAAGTACAAAAATTGCACACAATATTCAAAGAGGAATAATCATCTATATTTACTATTTGTAATGTATTTAATAAGGATTTTAATCTATCAAAACAATACTTAAAGAAAGATGTATCCAATTTTGTATCTTTTTCACATTTATACAAAAAAGATAATGGGCCTTCTGATGTTATTTCGTATATATTTATATACTTTTTTAAATAAACTACAACTATTCTCATCAAGTTTAAAAAATGTTCTGATTTTCTAATATTTCCTGGAATTATTATATTTTTGATTGTATCTTCTGCTAAAAGTGGATTAAAATGTAAATCAGAAATATCACCTTCTTCTATCAATAAATTATTTCTATTTTCATTTGTTTTATCACCATCATAAGTATTATTATCATTTTTTTTTACATCATTTCTTATCAATTCTTTCAAATCTTCCACTAAACTCTCACTTGTGTCTTTTTTTTTTTCTTGTTCATCTAAAACATAATTTGATTCATTATTAGCTACAATATTTTCCTCTTCACATATTTTTTCTTCATTCATATCCCCAAAAACCAAGTTCATATCGTCATCAAAATAAACTTCATTTTCTATTCTTCTTCTTTTAAAATCCTTATTATTTGACTCTAAAAATTTGTTATTATTTGGACTATTATTTATTATGATATCTTGCTTATGAAAATCAACCATATTTCTTTTTTTCTCCGAATTAGTTGGTAGTAATGTATCTTCCTCTTCAAAAATATTTTTCTCATAATCACTTTTTATGTTAGCATTAGATGAATCAACAATAGTATTTCTACCATCATTTTCATCATCACTTTTTTTTTTTTTATTATTCAATTTTTGAGACTTAATTTTTTGTAAAATTTTGTTACATTCTTCCTTTAATTTTTCTTCATTAATTGCTTTTGAATTTTCTATTTTTTTTAATAACTTTTTTATATTTAGAGAAGCTTTATTAAGAATATTTCTATCTATGTTAACACTTAACGCTTCTAAACAAACACTATCAATATTATGTGCTTCATCAAAAACGATGATGTCATTTTTATGAAAATTTACATGATTCATATCTCTTCCTAAAAATAATGATTTTGATACTTTTGGGTCAATTACATATTGATAGTTTAAAACAATTACTTTTGATATTTCTATAATTTTTTTTGCACAAAAATATGGACAAATTGGAACATTAATGTTATAAGTATTTTTATAATTTTTACATAAAACTTTTAAATCTTCAATAGTATATACTCCTGGTTCTATTAATTCAAATAAAAATTCTTTTTTAAAATTTTCAAAATATCCACATAATCCTATTTCATCATATTCATCCAATGTACTTTTTGAATTATATATATCAAAATAATCTTCTACATCTATATGATGTTTATTTTTTAATATAAAATCAGAAATTCTATCTTTATTTTTGTTACCAATTTTATCTAATTTATAATTAATATATTTTTTCTCTCGTACAAATGTAGCTGTTAATTTTCTACATTCTTCATCTATTTTTTCTCTTTCATGTTTTAATAAAACTTTATCATTAACACACATACATCTCCTTGCACTAATTCCAATAGCTAGCATTTCACTATTTTTACCAAATTTTTCATTAGTATGATAATTTAATGTTTTTTTTAATTGACACTCTTTGTTTTGGGAATCTTCTGATGTGTTGTTTTTATATGTCATTTCTTCATTTTTTTGAAAATTATTTAACATATTTTCTTCATTTAATTTTTCCTCAGTATTTTTTTTATTATTTCTTTGTTTTATTATATTAATTCTATATTGGATAACCTTTTTTAATTCTATAAGAGATTTCTCCATTTCTGCAACTGTACGTGTGCAAAATATAAATTTCCCATCATCATTTTTATAATATTGATAAGAAGTTATAAGAGAAAAAATAGCAACCGTTTTACCTGTGCCTGTTGGCATCTCTAAAACACAATGTCCTTCACTATCTAATGTCTTTTTTAAATATTTCATATATGCATACTGTTCAGGATATATATAATCATATGGAAAAAAAACCTCTAAATCATCTAAATGAAAAACAACCATTTTTTTTTTTTTTTTTTTTAAAAATTGAAATATTCTCTAAAATTTTCTATTTCTATAAATGCATATATATATATATATATATATATATATATATATATATATATATATATATATATTTATATATCTATTTATATATATCTTTTATAATTTACTCAAATGAAACATTTATTTTATTTTATTTTTTTAATATATTGACAAATATGTAGATATTAAGAACAATGAATTTTTAATATTGAAGTTCATCATAATATAATTTTACTGTATAATAGATATATATAAATATTTTTTTTTGTAAAAAAAAAAAAGTTAAACAAATATGTATGTGTTTCATTTATAGTCATTTAAATTAATATATTAAACAAGTGTAAAAGTAATCATCTTTATAAACTTTTTAATGATTTAAAAAAAAAAAAAAAAATTCAATACAAAATCTAAAATTTGTATATAAAAATTATGAAATTTATAAAGTATTCATTAATAATTTCCCATTTTTTTTATAAATATGTATGTTACAAATTTAAATACTAAAAAATAGAAATTAATAATTTATAATCCTTATACTACAACTTGAAACTTAAAGGTTTAAAATTAAAAATGTTTTTCCTTTAAATATGCATCTTGAGAGAATTCACATTATAGAAATATCACAAGTTTCACATAAATATATATTATTATTTATAAATGCATTCAAAAATAATTAAAAAATTTATTATTTTTTTTTTTTTTTTTTTTTTTTAATTTTTTGATAAAATATATTTTCAATAATTATACTAATGCATTATAAAATTTAAATCTAAAAAATGATTTAATTTATAGAATTTTGCAAGAAAAATAAAAAAAAAAAAAACTAAATGAATATTAACATATATTAATGTTTTCAATTCAATTGTAGCTATTATAACATATTTGAAATATTGAATACAGAAATATGCTTTATTAATTATTTATACTGTTACTCTAATTATTTTTGGAGAATTTTTTTTTTAATTATTTTAATAATTATTTTTCTTCATTTATTTTGTTAAATTTTTTTTATCACATCTATTTTTTCTTATGCTGATTCCTATAAAATATGCTTATAAAGATAATTTATTTGATGATAATTATATTTTTAAAAATTGGTTCATTTAAAAATATCAAAGAAAAAAAAAAATTTTTTTTTTTTTTTTTATTAAAAACAAAAAATAATTATAGTTTAAAGAAAAAATTCATTCTTAACAGTGTAAAAGGAATAAGAACATTTGACTCTAAAAACTATCAAAGAAGAGAATACTTATTTAAAATATGGAAAAACATATCCAAAAGCTTTGCATATGATTTTTATGATTTACCAATATTAGAAAATTATGATATTTTTAGAAAAAGTAATATTAATGAGTCCTATGATTTCGTAAAAAATAATAGACATTTAATATTACGACCAGAAATAACACCTCAATTAATTAATTATTTATTTTTTAAGAAAAATAAATTAAAAGAGAAAAACACCAATCATGATAATAATTCTCAAAATTATAAAAAGAACTATTTATTACAAAATTTAAAAAAAGTGTTTAAAATGTGCACTATTGGTCAATGCTTTCGATATGAAAAAATGTCAAGATGTAGAAAACGAGAACATTATCAATGGAATATGGATATAATAGGTATAGATAATATAAGTGCAGAAATAGAAATTTTCACTATTTTAATTTCTTTTTTTCATTATATTAAATTAATTCATAATGACATAGTATTTAAAATTAATGATAAAAAAATTATACATTACATTATATTTAAAATTTTTAAAAAATCTTTTGATTTTTCATACAATCGTACTCAACTAGAAATAAAGAAAATATTACACACATTAGATAAATTTCATAAAATCAATAATTATTCTTTCAAGTTGTTATTAATAAAAAAATGCCCATATTTAAAAAAAAGAGATATACAACTCTTTAATAATGTAATTCATAATATTACTACCCTAAATCAATTAGAAGTGTATCTAAATTTTAACACTAGCATATATAATGATTTAAAAAATTTACTTTCATATTTTCAAAAATTAAATTTACATCCTTTTTTTCAAATAGATACAACAATTGTAAGAGGATTAGATTATTATAATAATATAATTTTTGAAATATTTTATAAACATAAAAATTACAGAGCTATATGTGGAGGTGGCCGATATGATTTTTTCTTAGATGGAAAGAAAATCTTTGCAGTTGGTTTTGCTATGGGTGATATAGTAATATCAGAAATTCTTTTCAAAAATTTCATGAAAGAAACCAACTTACATAAAAATATAAATGTTGTTTCATTCTTTCCTTTTATCGTAAAAGAAAATATAGAAGATATACATAAAGAATATTATAGCATTCTAAATATTTTAAGAAATAATAATGTAAAAGTATATTCATTATTACAAAATAATTTAAAACTATCTAAGGCATTGAAAAAAGCGAATTCCTTAAATCCTGATTATTTTTTATTTTTTCAAGAAAAAGACAATATAATTTTCTTAAAAAATTTGAAAACAAGAAAACAAATAGCTGTTAACTCACAAAATATTTTATCTGCTTATAATAATTTTTAGCATATATATATATATGTAAAACATATTTTTTTTTTTATAATAAATTTTTTTTTTTTTTTTTATGCTTCTCTTGTATATAAATATATATTTGTTGGGTATATCTGAATATTATTAATTTATATATATTATCTTTATGAAAGTTTAATGTTTTATATAATTTTTTTCAATGTTTTCAACTTTTTTTTTTTTTACGTAATTTACTATTTTTATCTTTATAATTTTTTTCCTTTTTTTTTTTTTTTTTTTTTTTTTTTTTTTTTTTTGGTAAGGAAATTTTTCGTTTAATAATCTTTTTTTTTTTTTTTTTTTCTTTTTTATTATTTGAAATCTTCTTTATAAACTTGAATTATTAATTTTTTTTATGTTAATTTTTTTTTTTTTTTTTTTTTTTTTCTTCTGGAATAAAATATTTGTTTGTTGATTTATTTTAAAAAAAATAATAAAATTATGATTTTTTTTTTTTTTTTTTTCTTTTTTATTATTTGAAATCTTCTTTATAAACTTGAATTATTAATTTTTTTTATGTTAATTTTTTTTTTTTTTTTTTTTTTTTTTTTTTGATATGAATAATAAAAATATATATAAATGGTTCATTCAAATTTAAGAAATATAAAATTGTTCTTATTCCTTATTAATAAAAGAAAAAATAATGGAAGACACTGATGACGAAGAAAACGTACAAGTTAGTTGTTTATTTAAATTTTATTATTATTATTATTATTATTATTTATTATTATTTATTATTATTTATTATTATTTATTATTATTATTTATTCCTATTATTATATATAAACAGGTTATTGTGTTTGGAAATTCGTCAAAAGCTGATTTTGATGATTTCTATAGAGAAGAAATAATAAAAGAGAAAAATGATGGTAAAAAAGAATAAAAAACAAAATTAATTTTCAAATATTTATACTTTAAAAGAAATTTCTTTTGTTTTCTATATATTCTAATAGAAGATAAAAACAACACAAACACAAATAATTCTATCAAAAATGAAATTCAGGTAAATAATTATATAGAAACTATTTAAAAAAAAAAAAAAAAAAAAAAAAGTAATTTATGTAATATTTTATAAATTTTCAATTTTATTAGAATGAAGAAATAGAAGATTTAGATTTAGATGCACAAGTATTAAAAGCAACGAAAGAAAATAAAGTTTTTATGAAATATGAATATACTAATGAAAAACCATGGTTATATCATAATGACATAAGTATGTGGTTTAATTATAATTTTGATGAAAATAGTTTTAAAGAATGGATTCAAAAACATATTGATAGAAGAATCGAAAAGCATCAGAATTATCAAATTGAAAATTCAGATAATATCTATAATGAAAATTTTAAAAATAATATAAATACCTCAGCTTATGAAGATGACTTACAAATTTCTAAAAATCCAAATTACAAAAATCAAAATATAAAAAACAAAATGAAATATAAAAATACAAAAAATAATTTTTATAATAATAAGAATAATATTCTAAATAATTTTAATAAAGATAATTCTTCCATAGACGATGAAAACTACTTTGATAATGATGCATATAAGAATGAAGATTTTTACACATATTCTAATATAAATAAATCAAACGGTAGTAATAAAGATATTAAGAATAATTTTACACAAAATTATATTTATAGTAATAATAATAATGCAAGCATGAATAATTATAACAATAATAACAATAATAACATTAATAAATTAAGAGATGATACAGTAGATATTCCAATTCAAAATGATGATTTAAGGCAGTTGCAAAATTTAATTAACTTTTTTAAAGAAAACCCAGAAGTATGAATAAAAAAAAAAAAAAAAAAAAAAAAAATTAAATAATAAAAGTAAAAAAAAATTCAAATAATTCATGTTTACATTTAATTTTTTTCTATACATAAAATTTTTAATTGAATAAGAAGAATATAGAAAAAACTCGTAAATATTTGAGAAATATTTAAAATATTTATGTAATATGTGTATATATGTAACTTTTATTTTTCACATATAAAATTGATCTTGTAAATTTTTTTTTTTTTTTAAAATAATAACAGTTATTATATCTTTATTTTTTAAAAATTTTATATTTAAGTTTTATTATTTATTTATTCACTTGATAAATTTTCATAAGAGTTTATAATTTGTTCTACTGCCATTAATGAATTATGAATTTGATCATGAGTTACACCATAATTATTATACTGATAAATGTAAGCATTTGCAGAATATAACATTTTAGCATTTTGCAAAAATTTCTTTATGGCTGGAATTGGTGTAAGACAATTTGATATCATAGATATACTATTATAATTAAATTGTTTATTTTCATCAATATATATTTCCATAGGATTAAGAGATTTATTATTATACAATACATGATTTTTAAATAAATCAAAATTAATATTTTCATTAACTTCTCCTCTCATTATCATTTTCGAGCTAAAAATAACATTGTTATGAATAAAATTGCTAGATGGAACAATTTCTGTAGGATTTTTTAAATGATGATATGTTTGCTTTTTAGAGGAATAATTTTTTTGATTTCTTTTTAAAAATATTGAATTACATTCATGATTTACATAAGAGTTACTAATAGATTCATTTAAATATATAGGAATATTGATATTCTTAGAAAAAAGTTTTTTATTATTTATACTTCTAGAAGACAAATGAGCAAAATAATTATCTAAATTAGAACATTCTGTTATAGAACTTTTAGTATTCGTAACATCTGAGTCTAAAATGCTACCTTTAATTACCATTTTATGCATTCTTTTTAATAACATATTAAAAGAATTTTGTTCAAATTTCATATTTTCCTTAAAAACTTGAGGTAAATAGCGAGTTGATAATAATTTATAATTAGGATGACAGCATAAATCTGATAAAATATAATTCATAAAGTTCGAATATTTATAATTATTTCCATTTTTTAAATTAGTAAAATCTATAGGTAATCCAATTGTCGAAGCTAAAAATAAGCTAATATACTTGTTAATTTCATTAGTATTAATATTTTCATTATTAATTCTTTTACACATTAATTCAAATTTGTCGTTTTCAAATAGTATTAAACAATCAGACACATCGTAAAGAGAAGATAAACATAAAACAGAATTTAAACTTTGTACACTAATTTCACCAAACATGTAAGGTAAAACACAGATATTAAACAAATTTATTTTTGGAAATTCATCTTTTAACAAATATGAAATATATGAACTAATACCACTTCCACTACCACCAGCTAAACTATGAAATAACAATATATTATCAATATTTTCTTTCGATTCATTTTTTTCTAATTCTTTATTAATTAAGTTTAAAAAATGTTCACATATATTTTTTGCATGAACATTAAACCCATATGACCAATTATTACCTGAACCGTTAAGGCCATAAATAAAATTATTATTATTATATTTCCATTCATTAGTAAAATAATCATTAGATCTTTTTTTAACTTTATTTTTTATATTTTCATCTGAATAGCTGTTATCATATACATTTTTGTCATTCCAATTATGTTGCTCATCGATTCCTTTTTTTCCATTTTTATTAAAAACTTTTAAAAAATTATTTGTTGGCTCGTAATATTCATCTAAACCACACACATATTTTTGATTTTTGTCATCATCATTATTTTTTTCTTCATTATAATGTTTTTTTTTTTTTTTATTACTATAATTATCATTTACATTTTTTTCTAATAAATTTGAATGTAAACATTTTTCAATTACCTTTGGTTCCATATCAATTAAAATACATCTAGCTACATAATTATTTAAACAAACAATATTATTTTGTTCATTCATAAAACCTTTTCTACTTTTATTTTCTTCATATTCAATAATTGGGAAAATATTATTATTATATTTATATTCTTCATCAAAATACATATCAATTAACATATTTTTAAAATTTTCATTTTTTGATGAATTTATATAATTGTAAATTATGTCAAAAAATTCAAAACCCAGTTGATTTCCACACTGCCCAATTTGGATTGTTAGAACTGTCATTATGTAAAAACAAAAGAAATAAAAATACATAAATGTATATATATTTATATATATATATATATATATATATACATGTGATATTTATAAATAAATATTAAGAGAAAGTACATTAATATATGTATTCACAAAAATATATCAAAAAATGAAATAATTTAAAAGAGAAAATTTTAATTATAAATAACATTTTTTTTTTTTTCTTTTTTTTATAATATAACCTTATTTACATATTCTAATTTTTTCTGTCTTTTCATATTATTAACGGGTCACATTTCCTTCCTTTTTATAATTTTAAGATAATAGTATAATACTATTTTATATTAATCTCTTATTTTTATATATTTAAATTTAACCATTTTTTTTTTTTTTTTATTAATTGTAAGAGAAAAAAGAAAAAAAAAAAAAAAAAAATTCAATTACTCTATTAGATGTTGTTTTATATTAATATATCAAATATTTTCATTTTTATCATAGAAATCCTAATATTAATAATAGATATATTTTTTCAAATCTTATTTTTAAAATATAAAGTATTTTTATGTGCAAATAAAAAAATTATTTGAATAAAAATTAAAAAAATAAAAGAATAAAAATAAATATATACAAAATATTAATAATATTTGTAATATTACAAAAAAAAAAAAAATATAAATAAATAATATTACAAAAGATAAAAAAAAAATTTTTTTAAAAAAGAAATATGGATGAACAATGTAAGAACTAAAATTTCTATTCCACACTAATTATAAAGTTTATTGTAATATATAATTTTTTATTTTTCTTATTTGTTTATTTTATTTTATATTTTTTCTTTTAAATGAATGGATGAAAAACATTTTATACAAACATTCGAAAATATTAATGAAGATAGTATCCCATCACCATTAATTAAGCATTCAAGTGAATGCAAAAATTACAACCATAAAAAAAATAAAAATATTGATGGATTTATTTTAGAAAGTTCTCATAAAACAAATGGAATGAAGAAAGATGAGGATAAAAAATATTTTTGTATAAATATTAATAAATTCAATGGAAAATGTTATCATAAAAAAATTTCTATCATTGATCAAACTCATTTACATTTAACATTGGGTGAATCACTAATATACATTCTTAATATTTATTTGCAAAAAAAAATTATAAGTAAATGTTTATATAATAGAATTCTTTATTCATTTCAACTTGTAAGTTATTTTAAAAATAGATAATGTAAAGAAATTAATACACACTAAAAATTGAACAATAATGAATTTAAATAAATATAAATTTAATATATATTTTTTATTTTTTCCTTCTTGTCTAATATAATCTTACTATACAATATATAAATATATATTTACATATGCATTTTTCCTTTTTTTTTTTTCAAAATAGGCAATAATAGAGATTTTAAGTGAAGTAAAAGAATCTAAAGAAAATAAATGGAATATTAAAGGAAAATTAATAAACTCAAAAAAAGAAAACAATACACAATTATTTTACTTAGAAAATGCTTTTCTATCTCTTAAAAATATTATTTTACATGTTCCTTTATTAAAAATTAAATCTATAGATATATGAATTTTAAAAAAAAATAAATATATTTTTTTTTTTTTTTTGTTAATACTCTTACATGAAAAATTGTATTTCATCCTTTAAAAGTTCATAGTTTATGTAATGCATTAACATAAAATTTTGATTTTTTAAAAATATTCATAGTGTTTTTATTATTTAAAATTTCTTTTTGTTTATAATGAATTATTATAACTCTTTTTAGAAAAAATTTTACAAAAAATATAATATAAATAATAAGAATTAATTTGCTCTAGTTACCTAAAAATTTATTTTTTTGGAAAAATCTAGTCTATCTATATATATAAACTAGAATTACTTAATTTTTATAATATTATTTAACTTTATTTTTGAGAAAAATTAATAAACATATCAAATAAACTACATCTATATTAAAAAAGGAAAACAATATATAAAAAGAGTTAAATATACATATTATATTAAGAAAAATATTTCTATAAATTTATTTTTTTAGTGTTTTTATATTCTTCATTTTATTAAAATTTCCAATCCATTATTAACCTTATAATTTTATTTATGTGTTTTTTTTTTTTTTTTTTTCAACTATCTATATATCACTTATTCATTTATTTGTATGTTTATTTATTTTTCTTTCTACTTCTAAAAAAAGGAATATAATAAATCAAAACTTTAATGATAATTTAAGCATCTTTTTTTTTTACATAATTATTTCTTTTATTTTTATTTTTCTTTTTTACTTAAATTTATGAAAAACATTAAAGTTATATATTTCATAGTCATTTTTAAAATTTTCTTTAAATATTATTTTCTATTTAAAAATATATTTTAGTAGTATGTCTAAATTAATATATTCGAAATAAATAATATTCTAATACTATTTTTCAATAGATTTTAAATCAGTTTTATTTTTAAAATATTCATTATCATTAAAAAATATGTTAATTCGTTAAAAATGTTTTTATTAAATAAGCCTACAACCATTTTGTAATAATATACCTCTGGATTGTTAGTAACACAATTCATATTATAAAATTCATTAAAGTATGATTATATATAACGTATTTTTTCTTCATTTTTTTAGACGATTTAAATTATAAAAAAAAATAAGTTTTTACTGTAAAAATAAACTACTTATATACCTATCTTAATATATAAGTAAACTAAAAAATATATTTTCCTAAAAATGTAACAACATATGTTAATATAAAGCTATAAAATATAGACAAAATTCTAGTAGAAAAAAGAAATAAATATAAGTAAAATATTGGAATATAAAAGTAAAATATATACAATTTTGTGATACTTCAAAATATAATAAAAATATATTTTTACATTTGTAGAAATATAAATATTAAAAACTAAAAGATTTTCTATATAATAATTTTCTATTGAATAATAAAATGTTTATTTTATATTAATATATCCACTTTTTTTTTTTTTTTTTTTTTTCTTCCTTTTTCTTTTAAAACTCTCTAAAATTTTATAGACAATTTAATTACATTAAGAACATATTTTTATTTTTTTTAAATTAATTTCAATTTATAAATTATAATGCATATAAGAAAAAATTATCCTCAAATATAAATATATAACAAAATTTAATATTTTTTTTGAAAAAAACATAAGCAATTCTTATTTTTTTTTTTATTTTTTCCCTTTAAAGAAATAATGCATCTAAACTTTTCTATTATATGTTATATATATATAAATATATATATAGTTTTCTTATCTTTTTTTAAATATTATTAATTTAGTTAAATTTTCACCTTATAACTTATCTATTTATCTAAATAATAAAAAAAAAAAAAAAAAAATGAAGACTTTTAAATAAACAAAACAGATATAAAAGAAAATCTTCTAATATATGATACTTTTTGTTAAAAATATTCATTAAAAAATCTACATTTGTAAATATTTTTAAATAGTGCAAAAAATAATTTCGTAATTTTTTCATTTTTTTCAAATATAAATATATTCGATTTTTTGAAAATATTTTTAAATTTTGTTGATATTCCATATATACATTTATTTCTTTTTATTTTTTTTTTTACATTATGCTTTTTGAGCTTTGTTTTATAAAATAAAATCTTATGTTAAATATATACATATATATATTATAGTAAAACATATTTTTATGAGTATTTAATTTTTTTTTATTAATACAACGCTATTTTTATATTTTATTTTACAAATTGATATTTTTTACTATAATTTAATATATTTTTATACTTGATTCTTGATTATTTAAAAATGCTATATTTTATGTTTATTTAAATTTTTTTTATTTTTCATTTTTTCTTTTTATAAAATAATCTTTTTTTTTTTCAAGTATATTTTTTTTTTTTTTTTTTTTCTTTTTTTTTAATATATATATATATATATATATAAATGTTTTTTTTTTTTTTTT